ATGTCCATGGAATCAAGTTGGTTAATTGTGGCATTTAGATCTTCCGTGTCTTTATTGAGCTTCTTTCTAGATGTTCTGTCCTTCACCGAAAGTGGTGTGTTGAAGTCTCTGTCATAGACTGAATTGTGTCCCCCAAAAATATCTGTCAACTTGGCTGGGTCATGATTCCTAGTATTGTTTGGTTGTGTACCATTTTGTAATCTGATGTGATTTCCTTATGTGTTGTAAATTTAATCAGTACGATGTAATAAGATGGATTAGCGGCAGTCATACTGATGAGGTCTACAAGATTAGATAGTGTCTTAATCCAGTCTCTTTTGAGATGTAAAAGAGAGAAGGAAGCAGAGAGACATGGGAACCTCATACCACCAAGAAAGCAGTGCCGGGAGCAGAGCGCATCCTCTGGACCTGAGGTTCCTGCGCATAGAAGCTCCCAGACCAAAGGAAGATTGTTGACACGGACCTTCCTCCAGAGCCAGTGGAGAAAGTGTTCCCCTGGAGCTGACGATCTAAATTTGGACTTGTAGCCTTCTGGACTATGAGAGAATAAACTTCTCTTTGCTAAAGCTATCCACTTGGGGTATTTCTGTTAGAGCAGCACTCGATGACTAAGACAGTCTCCTAGTATTATTGTGGAGCTATCTATCTCTCTTTTCAGTGTTGTTAGAGTTTTTTTATGTATTTTGGAGCCCTTGCGTTGGGTGCGTAAGTATTTTTTATAGTTATGTCCTCCTGGTGTATTGACCCTTTAATCATTATATAATGTCCTTCGTTAACCTTTGTGGTGGATTTCACTTTAAAGTCTGTTTTGTCAGAGATTGATATTGCCACCCCTGCTCTTTTTTGAGTGTTGTTTGCTTGATATATTTTTTTCCATCCTTTGAGTTTTAGTTTGTTTGTGTCTTTAAATCTAAGGTGTGTCTCTTGTAGGCAGCATGTAGACAGATCGTTTTTTTAATCTGTTCTGTCACTCTCTGTCTCTTTATTGGTGCATTTAGTCCATTTACATTCAGCATAATTATTGATAGGTATGAGTTTAGTGCTGTCATTTTGATGTCTTTTTTGTGTGTGTTGTTCACAGTTTCTTTGTTCCACTTAATTTTCTGTGCTGAGTCGTTTTTCTTTATGTATTTTCTTTTCATCTTTTTCATTGTTGTTGATTTTGTATTTGCTGAGTCTTTATGTTTTTCTTGTTTTTATTTTGATGTGTAAGATTGTTGGTTTCCTTTGTGGTTACCTTAATACTTACTCCTGTTTTTCTAAGTTTAAACAAGCCTTTTATTTCTTTATATCGCCTTGACTTCCTCTCCATATGAAAAATCTATGACTACATTTTTTAGTCCCTCTTTTTTGTTTTAATGTTGTTTGTCATCTTTTACATATTGACATCTCTGTTTCCCTATTTTCAGTGTTTTAGCTTTGATTAATTTTTGTGACTTCCCTCTGTGGGTATATACCTGGTCGCTCTGTACTGTGTTCTAGACTTGGGTTGTTGTCGGATGTTATTGATTTTCTAACCGGAGGACTCCCTTTAGTGTTCCTTGTAATTTTGGTTTGGTTTCTGCAAATTCCCTAAACTTCTGTATATCTGGAAATGTCCTAATTTTGCCATCATATTTGAGAGACAGTTTTTCTGGATATGTAATTCTTGGCTGGCATTTTTTTTTCCTTCAAGGCTTTATATATGTCATCCCCTTGTCTTCTTGCCTGCGTGGTTTCTGCTCAGTACTCAGAGCTTAGTCTTATTGACTCTCCTTTGTAGATGACTTTTTGTTTATCCCTAGCTGCTCTTAAATTTCTGTCTTTCTCTTTGATTTTGGCAAGTTTGATTATAATATGTCTTGGTGACTTTTTTGGGGGATCTACCTTATGTGGGGTTCAGTGAGCATCTTGGGTAGATATCTTGTCATGTTTGATGGTATCAGGGAAGTTTTCTGCCAATAAATCTTCAACAATTCTCTCTGTATTTCCTGTTATCCCCCCCTGTTCTGGTATTCCAGTAACTCATAGGTTATTCCTCTTGATAGAGGCCCACGTAATTCTTGGAGTTCCTTCATTTTTTTAAAATTCTTTTATCTGATTTTTCCTCAAATAAGTTGGTGTCAAGTGCTTTATCTTCAATCTCACTAATTCTGACTTCTGTTGCCTCAATTCTGCTCCTATAACTTTGTACTGAAATTTTATTGTTAATCTTCTGGATTTCTGATTGCTGTCTCTGTATGGATTCTTGCAGCCTATTAAATTTGTCATTATGGTCTTGAATAACCTTAAGAGCCTCTATTGCTTTGTCTGTGTGTTCCTTAGCTTGTTCTGCATTTTGACTTATCTCCTTCCTGATCTCTTCAAGAGTTCTGTATATTAATCTTTTGTATTCTACCTCTGGTAATTCCAAGAAATTCTCTTTCTCAGGAAAATTTCTTCATCCTTTATTTTGGGAGCTTGCTGAAGCCATCATGGTCTGCCTCTTTATGTGATTTGATATTGACTGTTGTCTCTGAGACATCAATAAGTTATTTTATTTATTTATTTAATGTGTGCTTACTGTATCCTAGTTTCTTGTTTTGTTTTGTTTTCATATGCCCAAATATGCTGCTCATGTGAGCTAGTTTGATTATTGGCACCTTTGAAGCTCTAAGGTCCTGTCATCAGGTGGTTAGAGCTGTTACTAGGTATGTAAGCCCAGGAGTCTGTTTACTTTTCTTGTATGAATTCAGCTCGTGTCCAGGTAGTCAGTCACCAAGTGTGTGGTGTAGGCTCTCACCTACAGTCCTAGACAGGCATGGGTGATTGGTGTAGGCACAGGTATCTGGCTGCAGTAGGGAGTCACGTGCTGAGCAAGGCAGGGATCTGATGGCTGCCCCTGAGTGTCTGGGAGGAAGACCTGTCCCTGTTCCCTGGAGCACATAGATGGGTGGATTTTGCAGCCAGACTATGAGCACCCAATGCTGTTGGCTGTAAGGACTGGGGGGCACCACTTATTCTTGTACCCCTGTCATGGGTGGCACGGGTGGAGTCATCAGTCCTTGGGCCCCTGATGTGGGTGGGTGAGGACTCTGCTTAATGGGCAGAGCAGTGTCAAATGTCACGAACCTGCCACTTCACCATATAGCTGAAACAGCTGAAGTTAGACTTCAGGAATATACCCTGTTGTACTGTGGTAATGAGGGCCTATGCTGTTGAAATGGGCCCACACAGGTCTATGCAGGGGTGAAAGGCATTCAGAGTCAGTGGACCCCTTATGCCTTTGCCTAGGCAAAGGAGCTGTGGCTACCCTGAGTTCCTGGCTTAGGGGAGCCGGCAGATTATTTTTTCCCTGTTTGTTAATTCGTTCCCTCTCCAAGGCTGGAAGATTGGCTCAGGGCGCGTGAGGGGTCCTAGTTCTGGCCCAGGGGACTTAGCAATCACTGAAGCTGACCTGGGACCCAGTACAGAAAGGGGAGGGGAAAGGTAAATGGGAGAGAGGTTTTTCCCAGAGAGGGTGTTTTTTGATCTGCACGGTAGGCCAGATTCAAGCACTTATCTTTTGCTGATTGAGCACTGCTTCTCACTGATTCTGAGTGCCTGAGTAGACTCTCTGCTGCTGGGTCTCTCCTCTTGTTGAAAACGCCTCCCAGGCATCACTGCTGGCCTCACTGTGCACGCGAACCAATCCGGCCTGAAGGGCGCTGGCTCCCGCCGGGTCACGTCTGGCAATTCCTCGCTGCTTCCAAACCATCTCTCCCTCCCCCTGCCACGCAGTCTGATTCCTCAACTTTGTTTTTGATGCTCAGGGCTCCTAGATTGTCATATATGGTCAATTCACTTGTTTTTTCAGGTCTTTGTTGTAAGAGGGACCACAAGAAGCATCTGACTACTCTGCCATCTCGGCCCCGCCTCTCTAGAATGTTGTCTTTATGAACTGTGTTACGCCAGTTGACCTAGATGTCCCGTGAGACTATGGTCCTTAGCCTTCAAGCCTAGTAACTCAGTCCCACGAGGTGTTTGGATATGTCTAAGATGTTTCCATAACTATGCCCTATTTGTGCTCTATTATAGATATATGAATATATATGCAGCACATACAAATATGTACATACAAATGCCCACAACTATACCTATATATGCACGTGCATGTACTCCCATACGCCCTCCCACACCTATATAGCATACAAATCTACCTATGTAATCACTCACAAATTTTTGGTTATTACTGTTGTAGAGTTGTATATGTTACAGCATTTTACTGTAGTTGTCCTTTATTGTTGGCGTACCTCTCAGTGTCTTCGTTTCCCTTGATCACGTTGTGCTGACTTCCCCCAGATTGTGTTTTGCATTTCCCTTCACCAGAATTAATGTGTCTACCATCTAGTAAGTGATTCTCCCCCCCTCCCCCTTCCATCACTGGTAACCATCAAAGAATGTTGCTTTCTGTATGTTTACCTATTCTTGACTTTTTATAAAAGTGACATCATACAATATTTGTCCTTTTGTGATTGACTTATTTCACTCATCATAATGTCCTCCAGATTCATCCATGTTGTAAGATGTTTCACAGACTCATCTTTATTTTTTATCATTGCATAATATTCCATTGTATTATGTACTACATTTTGTTTAGCCATTCATCTATTGGACACTTAGGTTTCCATCTTTTTACTATTGTGAATAATGCTGCAATGAACATGGGTGTGCATATGTCTTTTTGTGTCACTGCTCTTATTTCTGTATAATATATAACTAGGAGTGGGATTGCTGGATCATATGATACTTCTATTTCTAGCTTTTTGAGGAAGTGCCATACCATTTTCCACAGTGGTTGTACCACCAAGGCAGACATTCTTTACTAGTTAAGCTAAACTATTGTTTGGTTTTAATAAGACTTCAAGGAATATTTTTGGTTAAAAGTTTAAAGATTATTTCAGGGCAGTATTTTCAGGGGTTCATCCAGCCTCAATGGCTCCAGAATGTTGTACTTAGTTCTTGTTCTCTCTCTCTCTCTCGTTCTTTCTTGTCTTTTCTAGTCCTGTTTCCAAAGAAGAGCTTATCTCCATCCCAGAATTTTCACCAGTGAATGAAATGATTCCTGGGGGATCTCTGGACCAAAATGGAACTGGTAATGCCCGAGCGCTTCAAGATCTCTTAGATTTCACTGGCCCTCCAGCATTCTCCAAGAGATCCAGTGAGAATCTCACCCTGGATGACTGTAACAAAAACCTGATTGAAGGATTTAACAGTCCTGGCCAAGAAAATACCCTGAACACCTTCTGTTGACTAATCCAACATCTCTTTAATGAAAGGTACAGTCTTTTTTTTTTAATTGTACTTTAGATGAAGGTTTAAAAAACAAACTAGCTTCTCATTAAACAGTTAGTACATGTATTGTTTTATGACATTGGTTAACAACCTCATGACGTGTCAATACTCCCTCCTCGACCTTGGGTTCCCTGTTACCAGCTTTCCTGTCCTCTCCTGCCTTCCAGTCCTTGCCCTTGGGCTGGTGTGCCTCCTTTCATCTCATTTTATTTTATGGGCCTGTCTAATCTTCGACTCAAGGGTGAACCTCAGGAGTGACTTCATTACAGAGCTAAAAGAGTGTCCAGGGGCCATACTCTTGGGGTTAAGGTACAGTCTTTTGATGATACTCTTACGGCCATCACTCTCTACCTGGGGTTTGGGAAAATAGGATACACATCACTGAGCCTCCTGCAAGGTCCATTTTATTTAAAAATGCAAACACAGATATATTATGGTATATACTACAGCCCACACAAGACTTGAGATCGACTTCAAGTGAATCCTTTTTTTTTTTTTTTATTGTGCTTTAGGTGAAAGTTTACAGCTAAAGTTAGTTTCTCATAGAAACATTTATACACACATTGTTATGTGACCCTAGTTGCTATCCCTATAATATGACAGCACACTCCTCCTTTCCATCCCGGATTTCTCGTATCCATTGAATCAGCTCCTTCTCCTTTCTGCCTTCTCATCTCGCCCCCAGACAGGAGCTTCCCAGTTAGTCTCGTGTATCTACTTGAACTAAGAAGCACACTCTTCATGAGTATCATTTTATGTCTTATAGTCCAGTCTATTCTTCGTCTGAAGAGTTGGCTTCAGGAATGGTTTTAGTTCTCGGTTAACAGAGAGTCCAGGGGCCATGTCTTCTGGGGTTCCTCCAGTCTCAGGCAGACCATTAAGTCTGGTCTTTTTACTAGAATTTGAGTTCTGCACCCCACTTTTCTCCTGCTTTGTCAGGGACTCTCTGTTGTGTTTCCTGTCAGGGCGGTCATTGGTGGTAGCCAGGCAGCATCTAGTTTTTCTGGTCTCAGGCTGATGGAGTCTCTTGTTTATGTGGCCTCTTTTGTCTCTTGGGCTAATATTTTCCTTGTGTCTTTGGTGTTCTTCATTCTTCTTTGCTCCAAGTTGATGCATCTCAGATGGCCGCTTGCAAGCTTTTAAGACCCCAGATGCCAGTCACAAAAGTAGGGTGGAGAACATTTTCTTAATAAACTGTGTTATGCCAATTGACCTAGATGTCCCCTGAAAGCATGGTCCCCAGACCCCTACCCTTGCTATTCTGTCCCTCCAAGTGTTTGGTTGTATTCAGGAAACTTCTTAGCTTTGGTTTAGACCAGTTGTGCTGACTTCCCCTGTAGTGTGTGCTCTCCTTCCCTTCACCTGTGATTATTCTTGTCTACTATCTAGTTAGTGAATTCCTCTCTCCTACCCTCCCCACCCTCAAGTGAATCCTTTGAATAAGAGCCTTCAGTGTCCCGCCCTGGCTCTGTTGTTGGGGGTGTGTGGATGAAAAGGTTGAGAAGGCCAGGCTGAAGGTTTGACCAATGATCAGTCTTGAGTAGCACCTTTCTTAGAAGCAAGGCTAGAATGCTTTTCTTAGTGTTGCGAAGCCCTGTTAATAAAATGAATTTTCCCTCTAGTTTTACTCCGTGGCATCCTGTATGCTATGTTCAGTTATTCATATATGTCAGTGTGTTGGACCAAATGACTTAATGTTCTGCGGACTGGTCCTGGATTCTTCCAGAGCAAACATCTATTCTTAGATCATACCTGAGAGAGTGAGGGAGGGAAGAACTGCAGTGTATGCCCTGAAGGTGTTTTCCCCCACCTTTGGCCTTTTTTTCTTGCCAAAGTGCCTCTAGAAGCTATTCTCATTCGATAAGTTGTATCCATGGGCTGTATATACTCTGCAACTATGTGCACTTAGTTATACACACCCCATATTTGATTTACTTCCATGTGGGGATGATTTTTTTTATATAATATTTTATTGTATTTTTGGTAAAAGTTTATACAGCAAATTAGGTTCCCATTTAACAATTTCTATACATATTGTTCAGTGACATTGGTTACACTTTTCACAGTGTGTCAACATTCTCATTTCCATTCTGGTTGTTCCTTTTCCATTAATCTAGCTTCCCTGCCCCCCCTTACCTTCTCATCTTTGCTTTAGGGTAAATGTTGGTCGTTTGATCTCATATAGCTGATTGATTATTTAAGAGCTCAGTATTCACAGATAATATTGTTTATTTTATGAGCCAATCTGTTATTTAGCTGAAAGGTGACCTCCAGGAGTTGTGTCAGTTCCAGGTGTAAAGGGTGTCTCAAGGTGACAGTCTTGGGGTTTCCTCTAGTAACTACTGGTCCAGTAAATCTGGACTTTTTAAAGAATTTGCATTTTGTTCTACATTTTTCTCCCATTGTACCCAGAACCATCTGTTGTGTCCCTGATCAGAATGGTCGGTAGTGGTAGCCGGGCACCATCTAGTTCTTCTGGTCTCAGGATAGATAAGGCCATGGTTCATGTGGGCTATTAGTCCTGTAGACTAGTTTCTTCTGTGAGTCTTAGTTTCCTTCTTTCTCTTTTGCTCCAGATGAGTTGAGACTAATAGCTGTATTTTAGATGGCCACTCACAAGCTTTTAAGACCCCAGAAGCTACTCACCAAAGTAGGATATAAAATATAAACTTTATGAACTATGTTATGCCAGTTGACTGAGTTGTCCCACGAGACTATGGTTCTAAACCTTCAAACCCAGTAAACCAATCCCATGAAGTGTTTAGTTATGTCTGGGTAATATCTGTAACTGTGCCCCCATGTCCTTTATTATATATATATGAATATATATGCAGCACACACAAACATATATATACATATGCCTACAGATACAACTATAGATGTACACACATTGTAATTTGTTTTTGAATAATGAAACTACGTAACTCGAATTTGTCATCAAATCCTTTCATAACTTAATAATTCCAGTTGCTCCTCCTATTTTAGATTCTGGAAAACACTTCTATATCCTCAGCATTCTGCCAGTCACTTATTTTTTAATGATGTTTGAAACGATTTATCCCGACCTTTTGATGGAGCAATGGCTAATAGCTCAGCTGCTAACCAAAAGATCGCCGGTTGGAATCTACCAGCTGCTCCTTGGAAACCCTATGGGGCAGTTCTACTCTGTCCTATAGGGTCGCTATGAGTTGGAATCCACAGGATGGCAACGGGTTTGGTTTTTTTTTTTGGTTTTATTTCTCAAGTGAGGAAAAAGGTTGAGGAGAGGTGAGGTTAGTGTGTTTCATAGACTTTTCTCTACCTGTCCTCAGCTATTGCCTGTAGACAATGCATTTTAGAGGTCACTTCTGTCAGTTCTTGGGAAAGCAGCTGTGGTCATATCATACATGAGAGGGACTGTATGACAGGTTGTTTTTTGGGAAAACTATCTGTGGTTTGGAAGAGCAGCTGCCTTCTTGGATACTTAAAAAACTCCTGATTCACTTGTGCAGTCTGTTTCCCTGACAATTATATGGCTTAATATTAATTCAGTGGTTTCTTTTGTAGTTCTCATACCTAAATTGAGTCAGCCTCCCCTTCAGTTCACTTACCTCACTATTCCAGTGGGACCAGAAAATCCACAAGACTTAAGAAAGTATTCGTGGTTCCTCACATCTGTTCCCCACATCGCTAACTAAAAAAGTGCAAAGTCCCTGTTCAAAAAGAAGAAAGATCTTGACTAAACTTTCATTCACTGCTTGTGTGTTTTCATTTGTGACATAGTCTGGTTCTTAATTTCTGCTTAGCTAGAGGTGGTACCACCCACACTAGGGGGTGTTTGGAAATGTGTGGCCAGTTTGTGTTGTCACAATGGCTGAGGGGCAGCACTGGCATTTGGAATGCAAAGCTTGGAGTATTAAACATCCTGCAGGTTTTAGAACAGTCCTCCACAAGGAAAATTTGGCCCACCTTGAAGAATAGTTCTACACCAAATGCTGTAGCAACTTCTGTTAAGAAATATTGTAAGAGCTAAGGAAAATAAAATTACCAAGAAGGTAGAAAGTACCATAAAAACAAGTTGCCATCGAGTCGATTCCAACTCATGGTGGTCCATGTGTGTCAGAGTAGAACTGAGCTCCATAGGGTTTTCATTTTCAATGGCTGTGATCTTTCAGAAGTAAATCACCAGGCCTTTCTTCTCAGGTGCCTCTGGGTGGTCTCGAAACCACCAACCTTTTGGTTAGTAGCTGATTGCTTAACTAATTACACCACCAAGGGTACCTTAGAAACTACCATCCAAACCAAAACCCACTGCTGTTGAGTCGATTCCGACTCATAGCGACCCTATAGGACAGAGTAGAACTGCCCCATAGGGTTTCCAAGGCTGTAAATCTCTGGGGAAGCAGACTGCCACATCTTTCTCCTGTGGAGCGGCTGGTGAATTTGAACTACTGACCTTTCAATTAGCAGCCGAGCGCTTAACCACTGTGCCACCAGGGTTCCTGTAGAAAGTACCGTACCCTGTGCTGATTTTATTTGGAGAGAATAGATACCACAAATTCATTGGTCTCACCTGGTTTTGTTTTCAAATTTACACAGGTGGTGTTTGGAGCACCCGTGAAGCTGCTGGTGGTCCTGTATGAGCTGCTGCCTGTCTGAAGAAGCTTTTGTCACCCTTAACCACTGGATTCCAAATTATTAGATCTAAATGTAACTATATTACTAGGTAGTATGTCAAACACTGGCCACTCTTGGTAGAAACCTTGAGACTTTTGCCTTGTTGGGCTTTAGCAAAGTTTCATTTTCCAGTTCTATTTAGAAGCTTCAACTGCTAATAAAGCACTTCCTGTACTTCTCTAGTATCCTAGTGATCCTCTCAATAACCTAAGTGATTCTAGCTTGGAAATTGACTTTATAACCACCTTTATTCCCAAAGTTGGCGTGCATAAACATTTAGATAACTTTTCCTGTAAATATTCTACACATTTACCCAAACTCTACTTAAACGTATACTGAACTTGAGCTGCGTATCTCCCTGTCTTTGTTTAAAAGAAGAAATTCAGGATTCCCTCCTCCTATCCTGGGTGTCTTTGTTGGAAGGTACTATCAAGAAGCCCTTTTTTATTATTAAGCTTAGCCACCTGCAAAATGCATTGCCCCATAGTACTCTTTGGGGGCTAAAGCAGAGAGTCTGGTTGATTAAGGATGTAATTGAACAGTGTATAATGAGTTCTGTTCTATTATGTTTATTCTTATATACATGGGCAACTGAAGATAGCAAGGCCCTTTCATGTTACACTTTAAAATCTCCAAACTGTAGTCACTCCAAACCATTGAGTGACTCTTGGATTGAATGAATGAACAAATGACATGTCTCATGTATGGGTGGTTGGTTGGTTTTCATGGTGTTGCTATGGTTTTTCTCTTGGATCTTGGGGGTTTTGTTTGTGGGTTTGCTCCTGTGTTTACTCAACTCTAATCAGACCAGGACCAAATGAAAACCATAGTGCTCTGAAACAAGGGGCCCTGAATTGGACTCAATATGTCGCTTTCACAGACTGTAATGTAAAAATATCGGAACAGGAGGAAAGATGACACTAGAATGTATGCTCCACATATTTTATGCCACATAATTGTATTTTCTCTTAGTTTTGTTTCTTGTGGTAAAAAATAATGTGACTTTCAGATTAAAACAATCTTTTCTTTGAAACTTTTTTCTTTTTACTTGTACAATGAGGGGTTTGGAAAGATCCATAATTCTGAGAGAGGTGTGCAACCAGGAGATATAAAGAAGTCTCAATAGTAATGTTGTTCATGTGCTTTTAAAAGCAGCTACAATTTAAGAATTTCTTAGTTATGGAAACTGTGTATGTTTGTGAATGTATATATACTAAATAAAATAACATGCCTTCAATGATGCAGTGCCATTTATCTTGATGAATATCAGGGAAAAAAATCCCTTCTATGACAAGCACACAGAATATGATAGCATGCTTCTGTCTTTCAAAAAAATGCCTCGCCATCTTACAGCTTTATTTTGCTAAATGTTTGTTTTGTTGTGATCTGTAGTACCTTGCTGCGCCATTGTGACTGTGGTGGTGCCTCATTTGCATGATGTGTACATTGTGTTTAACATGAAATACATTTTCATGGAAGAGTCTGACGGCTTGCTAGTGTTTTGTTTGTTTATATAAGCTCAGTGAAGAAATGTGATGAAATCAAATCAGGGTTTTCAAAATCTATGTGGGAAAAAACAACAAAACAAAAAGCCTACGTGGCTGTCCTTTCCCTGTCAAACTCATTAGAAAATTCTTCTGTTGTTAGTTCCAAGTAAAGCCAGTTGTAGAAACTTTCCCTAGAATATGATGAACATCTAAGTACAGGAAAATTTCTGTTCTTTTATAGCACTGAGGCAGAGGTATTTCTAGCTATTTCTAGATGAAATTAAGCTTAGTGTAATCTATGAAAACATTTTACATAGCAATTTTGTATTTAAACAAGATTATAATGGGGATTAAAAAAAAATCAAACCTGTTGCCATTGAGTCAGTTCCAACTCATAGTGACCCTATAGGACAAAGTAGAACTGCCTCATAGGGTTTCCAAGGAGTGGCTGGTGGATTTGAACTGCCAACCTTTTGGTTGGCAGCCAAGCTCTTAACCACTGTGCCACCAGGGCTCCATGATGGGGATAGTGACCCTTACTTTCAAGTAAGTTAAAACCCAGCCCAGCTTTTTTTTGTATCTAGTTCAAGGGCTTGTCCACAGCCAGACAGTGTAATCCAAGACCAGGAGCCAGAACTAGAATAGGGATATCGGAACCATTGTGGGAACCTCTGGGCTAATGTCTCCAAAGCCAAGGGCTCAGTCAGTGCAGCCCACCACCCACCTCTGCTGACAGAGCCTCTAGTCAGGGCACAGGCGTGGCACAGCCCTAGTCAGGGCTCTGACAGTGCATTAGTAGTAGCTTCTGTCATCATGAGCTCTGGCCATTGGGTCTACAGTGATGGCCCGTCATTCCAAAGAACTCTCTAGTTTGTGAACATTCTAATGTTTTCCTTAGTATGTACAGATTTCCTATTAGTCAAGTGCTTTTGTAAACTAAGTTTAGTAAGCAAGCTTAGTATAAATAACTCACGTGTTTCTAGAGGTACACCGATTACATTGGACACAACAGAGGATGACCTCCAGCATTGGTCAGGCAGCACAGTTATGTGAGAACTCTTAGAAATAGTAGAAAGGAAAAGCCTTTATATTCTTTTCTGGGGAAACCCAGGAGAAGCAATTGAAAAACTATTAGAATAATTTCATAGGGGAGCCAACTACTAAATAAAAACCAATTGTTTTCTTATACATTGACAATAAACAGGAGATAGAAGAGATCCCAACAAAAACCATAAAATTCCTAGAAATAAGCTATATCTAAATCTTAACTGAGGGACATTAGAATAGATGTAAGTGGAAAGACGCCACATGCCTGGATAGAAAACTTGCTCATGTGAAGATTACTAGTAGGCGGCACTCATATTTGTGCAGTATTTGCAAATTAAATTAATTTCCAATCCGTGGGGTTTAATTTTTGCAATTTGAAAATAGAATTGTAAAATTCATGTAAGAAAATGAACGCAAAGCTAAGGAACTTTTATAAAGTTCATTTTTATTTATTTTTTGTTTCCTGACCATTAAATTTTTTTTCTTTTTATTTATTTATTTATTTTATTGTACTTCAGGTGAAGGCTTACAGAACAAATAGTTTCTCATGAAACAGAAGTACACATGTTGTTTTATGACATTGGTTAACAACCCCACAACATATCAACCCTCTAACTTCTCAACCTTTTTTTTTTTTTTTTTGGTGAAAATACATATAGCCTAAGATACATCATTTCAAAAATTTCTACATGCACAGTTCAGTGACATAGACTACGCTCTTCGATTTGTGCTGTTATTCTCACTTAAGATGAAGGCTTACAGAAGAAAATAGTTTCTCATTTAACAGTTACTACACATGTTGCCCTATGACTGGTTAACAATCTCACAACACATCAAAAAGTTCATTTTTAAAAAGAGAGTCTCCCTTACAAATAGTAAAATATATGATAAAATTTCCATAACTAAAACAGTATAGTCTGCTGGAGAAATAAAATTTGGAATAGAAGTAGAGATCAGCGATATGTGCAAGATACGTAAGAACTGAATATATGATGGGGCTGGGGGTGGGCCTCTTGTACCTGTAGAAAGATAGCGTGTGGTTTAGTGTCTCCTGAGGATCAACTGAGTTTAGCATCTCTGATGGGATGGGGATAAGGTCCCAGAAACCATGAGGAAATGATGAAGACAAGAGTGGGATCTAAGGTGTGGAGACCAATTATGGCTCAAGGTTGAAGTCAAGAACAAAACTGAGACACAAGGCTTGGTAACAGCCTTCGAGGAGCCTCAGCTGATGGCACTTCTGGGATATGGCGTGATTGCAGGAGGTGGAAAACGGCCTCTGCTTGCTGGTTTAAGCTTCTCCTGTGGGAGCAGGCCATGACAGTGAGCATTTATTGAGTTCTTGCTGTATCAGAGATGTTTCTCAGACTTCTCGATGCTATGAGGTAAGGTATGAGGAGGTAACTTCCTCCAGGGTGTGCAGGAACTTGGCAGAGCCAGGTTTGACTCCAGGGCCCCTGCTTTTATACCCCCAGATGAAGCTGACAGGCTGTTCGGCACCAAGAGCAGCAGAAGTGTTTTGCTAAAGCAGGTGCTTAGAGCCGTGAAGGGCCAGGACCCCCATGGGGAATCCTAGTCTGAGTGTGCTGGTTTTAAAAAAGTATTGAGATACAATTCACATACCTTAAAATACCATATGATTTAGTGGTTTTTTGTATATTCACAAGGTTGTGCAACCATCACCCTAATTCTAGAACATTTTCAACTGAGTGTGCTTCTGCACAGTTTTTTTTTTTTTTTTTTTACCTATTCAGCTACTGAAAGGAGCAGAGCTTGGTTTTGTCAATCAATCAGTTCAAGTTATGGTACTCGGGAGCAAGAAAATGGAATTTGAAAATAGTCTTTCTCTGAACCAGTCACTTCCCCTTTTCCCCCTTCTAATAGGCAACATCAGAGTGGGGTTTATGTAACTTCATTAATTTGGGATGTTTTGTGTTGTGTCACATTCTCTGTACATGTTGGATCAGATGCCCAGTGTGGGCCTAATAGGTCAGTGAGAGACATGGATTGGGTGAAACTGGGATTCAAAACGCTGTGAAAATCCTGAACCTTTGGAGATGTGCCTTTAACAGTGACCATTGAATTGTGCATGGGGCGACTACACTGTGATCCTACCTGCCCCTGTGTTTCTGTGACAGATGGCCCGTGTTAACCAGTGGGAAGGGAGTATTTCTGTGTCCTCTTCTTTTTTTTTTGACCCTTAGCTCCAGGTCAGGGTCCAAGACAATGGATATTCTATGCCCAAGGAAAGAAATGATGCCCTCCTGCAGCCCGGAGCCTGAGGGGCATCTTGCAAAAGACAGATGGAGCTGGGAGTGATCAGATATTTCTCCTAGAGAATCCACTGACCTTCTCTCCCTTCACACTCAGCACTAAATAGACAAGAACCTGTTGTGGATGCTTCTGGGCTGCAGTTAGGACATTTAATCTTTTCAATTGGCA